GGCGACGGAGAGAGCGCGGAACCGAGGCGCAGACGGCCCTGCTGGGCCCGAGGCGCAACGGCCGGGGCTGCTGGGCCTGGGTCTCTCTCCTCCCCACCTCCGGGCCGCGGACGGTCCCCACCTCCTCCCCTGGAGGAGGGTCCTTTGCGCCTGGAGCTCTGTAGTGTCAGGTCCAGAGGGCACAGCTCCGCTTCGAGGGACCGAGAGTCGGGACCACCACCGGGGTGGGCAGTGGGGAGGAAGGAGGTCAGCAGGGGAGGGGTGGGGAGAGGACCCAGGGCCTGGCCGGTCCCTCCCCTCCGGTGGTGGCGTGGGAACCCTGATCAGAGCCCCTCTGCAGAGAGGCGCTGAGAGGTCTGCAGAGGCCTGCGGACAGCCGTGTGCAGTCCCTTCTTGTCTGGGAGGAATTTCAGCCAATGTGCAGTGATTCCCCTTAGGTCTGTACTCCAATGAAAACGTTACCTAAAGAGTCGTGCCAACATTCAAAAATTATGAGTCTGCAGAAAATTCTGACTTCCGGATTTCTTGGGTGGGGTCGGAGGACCTGTTACCCGGCCGGTCCTGCCTGCGGTGGTGGCAGTTTGGGTCCCCCCTGCAAGTGTGTGTGCGCGCGTCTTTCTGTTCAGGCTGGGGTCATCAGCATCGAGGGGGGCCATGCCCAGTGCCCACCCACCTGGGGCCTGGCTGGATGGAGAGTTGGGATGTGTGAGTAGCCCTAGTGTCACTGTGCCAAGGCCAGCTGGGTTGGGCTCCAGTGGGGTCCAGTTTGGACTCCGGGAGCGAGTGGGCTTCCAGGCCTAGGTTCCGATGCCCACTCCAGACCTGCCATGGCTTCTGTTCTGCTAGGCCCTGAACGCACTCCCTGGAGGAGTGGGACGGCCATGTTTATTGCTTATCATTCATGCCTCCAAAAAAAGCTGTCAGGCCACACCAGAACGCCTCCTGGAAGCAATCCTGGAGAACAGGAATAAACGCACCCAAAACCAGAGAAAGGGGACACACCGTTTTTCAAAGGGACTGGGAGAGCTCTGCTGTGGGCAGATGAGTACAGGGCCCTGACCTTGAGTCACGGTGGAGGGCAGTTCAGTTCCCAGCCCCTGCTCGTCTTACAAGCTGCTTTGAAACTGTCCACATCCAGGGAGGCCTGGGGCAGCTTGTCCAGGCTTCCCCAGCAGTGATCCCTTCCTGGTAGGAATGGGGGCATGATCTCCATCGGGCAGAGGCTGGAGGGGCCCCCCGGGGTGCTGGAGCTGCCTGCTGCTGCCGGAAGTCTCTAGACAAGATATGTGCCTGAACCAGGGGTATCAGCCTGCAAGGGCTGGAGATGCAGCCCAGACCAGAGGGCACAGGTGCCCGTTAACCCACCAGGTGTCCTTAAACAGATGGTCATACTCCCCCAGTGGGGCAGAGATGTGGAGGATCCAGGGCACCAGTATCAAGTGACACGATAGCTGGGTCATTTCTGATCCCATCCACAGGCCTGCACCCTAGGCTATGAGGCCCATTTCACAGAAGAGAAAACTGAGGTTCAAAGAGCTTGACATCCTTGCTCTTGGGCAGGCCAAACTCTTCTCTTTCTTGTGTTAGCAGAGCTGGGGTCCTGATCCCTGGCTGTCTGGCGGCAGAGCCCATTCAGCCCCACCACTGTGTGCACCTGGGCTCCCAGGGGTGGGTGGTGGGGGTGGTGGGGCTGCGGCAGTGCAGGGTCTAGGAAGCTGGGCCTCAGCTGCTGACCGTGGGCACTGCTGCCAGGAGGAAATGCGGCCCGACAGTGTTCAACTGGGGCTCCTTAGAAAGGCCACACGTCCCTCTGGGCTTGGCCTGTGACCCTCACCCTGTGGCGATTTCACTGTTCCAGTGGGGAAACTGAGGGAAGAATGGCCTGATAAGGGGCCCCTCGAACAGTTGCACCTAAGTGGCAGTGGCCTTCGGAAACATGGGGAGACTTCGCACCTGGAGAAGCTGCTGATCCAACAGGACCCTGACAGAATGCGAGTTCTCTTAGGAAAAAGCATCTTCCTAGAGGGCTGCAGGGTTTTACTCGGTTTCCACTTTAAGCCCAGCACATAGGCTGAAGGTGAGTTTCTAACTCCCGAGGTCGGATGGCCCAGCAGGGACTCCGGGTGCGGGGCCCCTGCTCTGCTGGGGTAGCTTTCACTCAGGAAGGGGCTCGGCATCAACAGGCCCACGGAAGGGCCGCTGCGGTCAAGGAGGCGCGTCTGCACCTCGCACCCCTGGGTGCTACCATTTACTGTTTCCTTTCCCTACCTGATCTGCCCAGAGCCGACGCTCCCAGCGGCCCTAACACTGGACCTGGCTGTCCGGAGGGCTGAAGGCAGCACCCTCCCAAGTGGTCTCCGGAGCTCAGAAACTGTAACAGCAGTTCCTGCCTGGGGGTGGGTGGGGTGGGTTTCGTGGGTTTCCCTTTGTCCCTTGATCCTGTGCTTTCCTCGGTCCTTCGAATTTAGTCGAGGAAAAAGAAGAGAGCACCGCTAGTGGAAGAATGTGACGATCCAGTAAAATACAAGTCATCAGACTTCTGCTCCGGGGAGTGCAAGCCGCGCTAAGCTTTGTGCTTCTGCAGCCAAGGGTGATTCCCTCCCCTCCGAGCGTGCCCGAGTCCGAGAACCAGCAGATCGACCGCTGCGCCCGCCTCCTGCCTGCAGTCCCGCG